GCCGTGATTCCCGAGTTAATAGTTTCCCGCCAAAATTTTCACGAGGCCGTAGGTGATACTAAAGAGCGCGGGGACGCTGAATTTGAATGGGCAAGGTTGAGCGTGGGCAGGGGGTCATTATCCAAAAATTTCAGCCTCCCAGACTCCGTGGTTCCCGAGATATTAATTTACCCGTAAAAAACTTTCACAGGGCCGTACGCTTTACCCGCGGGTACGTGAAGGCTGAATTTGAATGGGCAGGGTTGAGCGTAGGCAAGGGGTTATTACCCTAAAATTTCAGCCTCCTAGACTCTTTGGTTCCCGAGATATTAATTTTTCCGTATAAAACTTTCTCGGGACCGTACGCATTACCCGCGGGTACGGGGAAGCTGAATTTAAATTTGCGCGTCACACGTGGGTGGGGAACGTTCCCCTAAATTTTCAGTTTCCTAGCTTTTGTGGTTCTCGAGTTGAAAGTTGCGGCTGCTGTTGCACAGCACAAAACGCATAAAAATTAATATTAACGCAGTGATGTAGGACTACTAAGAGTTTTTAATTTTTTTTAAAAAAAAATTTGCGTCTTTCATTTTCCAAATCATAGCCACTCTGAGCTGGTTGTGTCAGCCGCGTGCTAGTGTATTCTGTTGTCTCGTCGGCTCAGCCGGAACTCTTCTTCAGCTTTGCAACTGGCAACTTTTCCAGTTGCTTTCACTAGTAATGCTTCGGCGAGTGGTCAACCCGTTGGCAGTCTTCAACTGAATTTAATACCAAAATGCTTTTTATAATTTGAATTAGCTTGAAAGTCTTCAGCCAGAAGTTTAGACGTTTCGCTTACTTTTTAGCGCAACGAAATTTATTATGACTTTTTTTGTATCTACGGCTAACACAAAGATAAATTTGTTGACAAACACTTGGTTTTGCATGTCAAAGAGTGGCACCAAAAAAACGATTTATTTCGATGATATCTGAAAGACTTTTCAGTGAATGTGAACTAGCGTGCGAAAAAACACACTACCTACCGTGTTATTAGAAAATCGACCGGCTGTTTTATTATGCGTTTTTGCTGTGCAGCGCTACAGCGAGCAATAAACGGCAACGCGCACCAGACTAGCCGGTGCGATCATGCGTTTTGTGCAATTCAGCCCATCGAAGGCCTGTTAATGATTTTCACTTCCTTGTACTTTAGTCTATGCAAAAATAGTTCATACATTGAAAAACATTTAAAAATCTCACGCACCAGCGTATGAAAGCTGAATTCGAAACCTTGAAGGATGAATTTCTTTCCGTGATTCCCGAGTTAATAGTTTATCCGTCAAAATTTTCACGAGGCCGTAGGTGGTAACCGAGAGCGCGAGAGTGGACAAGGTTGAGCGTGGGCAAGGGTCATTATTCTTAAGTTTCAGCCTCCTAGACTCCGAGGTTC